TATATATATAATAACTGAGGTATTTGTTTTGCAGTTCCAACGCCAGCTCCAAGCCAAGCATTGAACCTCCCTTCACAGCCGCTGGCCACACATTGCCTTCAACTGTCCAACCTCTTCAACCCCCAAGCGTAAGAATATCTGACAGCTTCAAATTTTAGTAAACTCCTCATTATTTATTCATGTGAAATTCAAAACTAATGCCTGGTGTTAGTATGGACTGGTTTAAGTCCCTCCTCCTCCAGTTAGTAAACAAACACCTTCTTACATAGTACAAAATAATAGACCAATTTTACTATTAATCAAAACTTTCAGTATATTCAAATGTCTGTTAGGAAAGCCAGAACAAATACTATTAAGAGCATTCTACTGGTTGTTGTTGTTGAATACATTGTGTAATGTTTTTTTCCTACTTTAGAGAAAATGATCCTAACTGGGCCAGTGAAATTCAAGATGATGTGATTGATGAGTGCAACAAACACGGAGGAGTTGTTCACATCTATGTTGACAAGAACTCTCCTCAGGTAAGTCAAAGTGTTCAGTTATGCAGTAATGTTCAGTCAGAATTAAGTTTTCCTATTCTAATCAAAATTTAACCTAATTGTCTCTTTGTACAGGGTAACGTGTACGTGAAGTGTCCCTCAATACCAGCTGCAATGGCAACTGTGAATGCTCTTCATGGACGGTGGTTTGCAGGTATAAGTTTGAGTTGCAGCAAGCAAAACAAAATACGCATGGCAGGTTATTTACCATTTTTCTTTCTCCTCAGGTAAAATGATAACGGCTGCATATGTTCCTTTACCGACCTACCACAACCTTTTCCCAGACTCAGTAACAGCAAAGCAGCTCCTAATGCCCACACGCCGATAGTCGGAGACGGCTTTCAGAGTCAGTGTAAATACATTTGTTTGCATTTATGGAAATTTCATTGAAGCAAAAACTCATTGAAAGTTTAGTTGGCTGTGTGTAATAAAAAGTGCCCTCACATTCATTTTTTTTCTCCCGAGTTACTTTTTAATTTTTGTGGGTTTGTGTTGTAAACTGCCACTGAGAAGTAATTTGCAGGTATCTTGGTCTGTATGTTTTTAATGTTACCGTCTTATCTGCTCATCAAAATCAGTTTTAGATTTGAAAGGAATTGCAGAAGTACGTGTTGGGCTATTAGGCCGAAGATGTTGGAAGTATATCGATGTCAACAGTAATCCTTTGTAACTTTATACAGCCTTTTTTTTTTTGTATGAAAGGTTCCAATAAATCTACAAACATGGCATTTGTTTTATTTTTGCGTGCCATTTAGGTGAGATTGTCTTGCCAAGTAAAATCCAAAATGCTCTTATTAAAGTCTTAATTACAGCCATTGACCATGTTTTAATTTTATTAATTTGCATATATTGAAATCAGATCAGGAGCTTAGTTTGAAAAGGCATAATTTTTTCATGGATAGGTTTCCTTTGGTCTCGAGTTTAAGTGTTCTGTTCAGACTGGAATAAAAAAAAAAAATCAAACGGTAAATGTTAACACTTGAGGAAAAGTGGATTAAATTAACATACAGCTGATTTTTAAATCATTAGCTCTTTCTCTAATGTACAAAGTATTAATTTCTCTTCATTCATGGCAATTTTAAATGTGAGCACATGAAATCAGATCTTGTGACTGTTAAGAACGGTAAATGTAGGATTAACTTTTCATACAAATATGGCCATAAAAGCATTTGTAGTCTTCAGGACGTTTCTCCTAAACGGAACAAGGACACATTTGGATTATGGATATTAAAATTATTTACAAGAAATCTTGTTGCCACATAAGTAAAACTTGTTAGGTAAAATATGCTATTGTGTTAGCGTTCCAAATGACAAGATTAGAACATTTTAAAAATGATTAACTTAAATACCATTTTTTAAATTTAGAGTTAAGGTGGCCTATCATTTCATAAGGTTTTATTTGTGGTATTCAAACACCTGGCATTTTATCTGATGTACAGTAAATGAGATTAAGCTCATCGGAAACTATACCAATTAGGAGCAGTAATTTAGAAGAAATGTTTAAAGGAGACCAATTATGGGTCCTAGAAATGTTTATGGTATGTCTGTGGTCTGTCCAGACCATGTTCATTCAATTTAATGCACAAAATAATTCTCAGATAATAAAACTTCCCATTTTCTAGTTCTGCCTGCTCTGACTTCTGTTCAGAAGAGCTGTTTATGTTAATGAGCTCTGTTGGTAACGCCCTCCAAAAATCTGTTGACATTAACTCCGCCCTCCAAAAATCTGTTGACATTAACTCCGCCCTCCAAAAATCTGTTGACATTAACTCCGCCCTCCAAAGCCAGCGTTTACGTTAGCATGGCTAATAGCCGAAGCTCTGTTGTACAACCATACTGTATATATGAGACCCTGAGGCAGAGTCGGTCGCAGCTTTTTTATTTCTCCCCCTCCTGTGTCGGAGCTCTGCGATCACTCTGCATGCTGTTACCAGGGCAGGTAATGGGAGCAGCAGCGGTTGTCGTATGGCTTGTGACATCACAAAATGGCGGAAGTATAAAATGTCATTAATATACATTAAAAATACATTTACTTATAGTAAATATGCCCCTGGGTGCATTTCTTTGGTCCTAGGACTGTTTTTTTAAGAAGTACATACCCAAAGTTGAGTAAAAAAATCCTTTAAAAAGTGAATTTTGCATAACAGGTCCCCTTTAAAGGATTTTCTGTCAGAATTAAAAGTATAGCTTGTGACTTGGTCTAAAAATTGCCAACAAACTTCACATAAATTACTAAACCAAATGTCCCTGCCTTCTCTTTGTGGAGCAGGACCATTTATAGGAGCTGTAATGTACATTTGTGTTCTCAAACAATAAACTGAACTTATTAACCAGCTGGGAGCCAAAAGTTGATAAAATACTGGAGTTAGTGCTGCTGTGAGAGACACATCAGCAGACCTAATCTACCTTGCACTTTGGACCCAGGTGAAAATGCAACGCAGCTGAGCTGAAATAAATGTTGACACTTCTTTAAAATAAATCCCAGAGGATTAAAGGTTTGGGTTGCTTCAGTCAAATATCACCTCTGGCTTGTAAGGCTCTGGTACAGATTTATTTACCTTTGTGCATAACAAATGACATAACACAAGTTTAATGCATACGAGGGAAACTTTATGTTCTAACAAAAGGCACTGCAACAACAAAAGAGCTGCAACTTTGGAACTTCAGAAATATTAATGTAAACCGGTCGAGAATTTTTTTCCTCCGTTTTTCTTTTCCTTTTTCTTCAAAAACATTACACTTAGAATTTAATTTCCACCTCCAAAACAAACGTAGAGACCTGTAAAAAGAATGTACACCATTGTTAGGCCTTTTGTGGTCATTTTTACCTATTAAAATAGAAAACTAACAAAGTCCACTCATTAACTCCGCTGTGCAGAAATCTGAGCTAGTCGGTGTCTAACGTTTCCACCAGGAGTGCCTGAATGTACTCTCTAGGTGGCATTTTAAATTTAAAGTTTCAGTGCAGCATTGCTCTGGGTGTAACAACTAAACACCACACACACACACACACACACACACAAACACATAAAAAAAGGTACAAAATTATGCTGTTTTTCTTTTGATTGACAATATAGCCCCTTAGGATTAAAATCCCCAACGTTTTCTTTGAAATACACATTGTTGTTGCCGACCTGAAGCAGCTTCACTTCTTTGGAGAACACTCCTTTGCCTGGTGAGCCTGCAGGACAGCGATGGCCTCTTCCACCTGACAGGACAGGGAATGGACAATAAGCCTTTACCTCCAGAAGCTAAAGAGACGTCCAGCACACGATTAAAAAGCAAAAGGTTAAAACTGAAATAACAGCAACCTTAGAGTTCAGGGACTCCGGTGACTCCAGCATGTGCAGCAGCTCTGAGTTGTCGATCTCCAGCAGCATCCCAGTAATTTTTCCTGCCAGGTTCGGGTGAAGGGCGTGGATCAGCGGGTACAGGCGCTCTCCTGTGTGTCGCAGCAGAGACAGAAGAGTGACTACACATACACACCACCTGCTCTAGAGAAAAGGAGAAAAAAACAAACAAACAATGGCTTACCGAGAAGTTGTTTCTGATCCATGAGCGGCGCTGCAGCCAGCATGGAGGCGGTGAGCGGCTCGGGGACTGGAACGTGAACAGGTGGTTCCACCACAGGTGCAGAAACAATCTGAGAACATCGAGCAACGAGATTAGTGCGCTAAAATATTCAATTAATTATATATTTTTACTTTGACCAACGTTTAAGCGTTCGATTCATGTTACTTTCAATACCCATTATTAAAAATAATTTCTTACTCAGTTTTTGCAGTCCGTTCCAATATCGTGTTCGCAAGAACAGTTCTGCTCAGTTTACTCTTAACCCATTAGTCTCCGTTATTCTCCCACAGGCTCAGGCTGAAATGTCAGGTTCATTAGAGCTGGCAACACCAGCAGACATTACCTGTGGTCTCGTCAGGGGTGCCGGCACAGTAACAACATGCAGGGGGTTCCTCACTCCAGATGAATACTTGTACTGGCCGCCTCTGGGCACACCGACCATGTCAGTGCGTCCTCCTACAGTTTGAGTCCCTATGTTATCTGAAGAGAGCCGGCACACAGGTTAGACAACAACATCCCCGTGAAGCAGCACATTTTAGGAGAACTGGTCGCAGTTCCGGTACTTGTCTTTTGTGCCGAGGTTATGATGCGTGGGGCCTGTGTGGAAGCTTGTCTGACTGTGGTGATGGTCGTCGATCCGCGACGTGGGAGAGAACCTCCGACAAACGGAGGTGAGTACGGGCCTGGAAACACGCAAGCTCAGAATTCAAGCAGCACCAACAGTTCATGTTTGTGAAGTGGAAGCAAGACGTTTTACCCTGGGGTCTCGGTGGGTGTCCCGTCCAACGAGGGACCGGTCTCACGTTGGTGACGGCACTGTGGTTGTAGAAGGATCGAGTGGGAGGCTGCAAGGCATGAACATGTGTCAACCCACACTCCATGGGCAGATGTAAAACAAACGATTCAACTTTCACGTTAGCTGCGTTTCCATTCACCACGAAAATGCGCAAATTAGAATTTCGAAAATAAATTTGCTCAATTGAAACACGTCAATTTCGAAAAAAATTATGTTTTTCGACAAAATGTTTTTGCGCTAGGATGAGGTGGTTTTTCAGCCGTATCGAAATTGGTGTTTTTTGCAAAACTGCAATGGAAACACTTTTTTCGCATCACGGGAGTCACATATCAACAACCGGCTGTTTCTACTGGCAAAAAAGACAACGAAGATAACAGGAAGCAAAAGTAGTAGTAAAATCCCAGAAGTAGTAAAAGATAATAGTAAACTCACCGACTACAATATCCCAAAAACACAGCATATGTAGCCGCTCCCAAGTAGGAGCTTGTCGCTGGAAAGCCTTGATAAAAGACGCCGACGTCTCCTCTGATGATGAGCGCTAGTGTCGCGGTAGCAATATGCTATGTGTTTACATCCATTGCCTCCATGTTTGTAATGACTTACCACGAGAACAAACGTATTCACATGTGACTTTAATAGCATTTCTTACTTACTGGAAAAAACTGCAGTTGTGAAACTGTGTTTTTCGACATTAACACAATATCGACAAAGTTTTGCGCACATTTGCAATGGAAACGCAGCTACTGATGCAAATATGCTTTTAAAACAGAAAATCCCACATTTGACTAAAAACTACACCAAAGACACAGAAGTTGCTTTAAAAACACATCTGTTTGGAAGTGCAAATAGGATCTATCAGGTAAATTCCATTAGGGAGAGTGTAAAAAAGTGATACCTGCGGAACAGTCATGTAATATCCCGACTGATGGTACGAGTCAATGAGAGGACTGGTCATAGTTCTCAGGGTAGCCAGCCTCTGCATGTACTTGTTTGTTAGAATGGCTTTACGTTCCTCTCTCCGCTGAGCCAGAGCGACGTACAGCGGCTTGGTGGCAACAATTCTCCCGTTCATTTCAGTCACAGCTTTTGTTGCTTCCTCGGGAGACGAGAAACAGACGAAGCCGAAGCCTTTGCTTTGCCCACCGTCAGTCATCACCTGATGGGAGACGAAAAGGAGCTCAGTTTTTATGCAGCCAAATACACCAGAGCTACAACAACTGCAAAACTTTCCTGTCTATTAAACATACACGATGCCATTTTCAGTTTCCGCCTGATACTATATACATACAGTATACGGTACTATACACACAGCGGAATGTGAACAAATCTCACCTTTGCACTTGTGATTGTGCCATAAGGTGAAAATTCTTTCCGGAGCCTCTCATCATCTATGGTATCATCCAAGTTCTTCACATACAGATTCACGCCCTGAAATGATGACAAGAATAGCATTTTCTTTTCCCCCAGCAACAAAGTAACAACTTCAACAGCAGCACGTCACGCTAAAAAATATATATCTAGCAACTAAATTCATATCATGCTGCCATCCTACTGTTAACAGGAGCAGGATTTTTACGCTGGTAAGTCTACAGCCCAACAATAAAAAATATTTTTAGGTTTTGTTTGTATCAAACATTTTAAGCTTTATACATGAACAGCTTCATAGTTCGAGATCAGATTTAACTACTACCTTTTAATCTTTTCAGTGATGGGAGCTGCTTTAATCTGATCAAAAACCAGAGATTTGGGATGTGCTTTAGTGGAAAACTTAAATATTTCTAGTAAAACCTCCATCAAAAGCATCTCAAACCTTTCATTTATTCACAAAAATAAACTCAAACCTTTTAACCTGGAAACCATAGAGTAATTCACATGCTGTGTGACTAAAACTCAGCAGTACCTGATAGCGCTGGATGCGGTCCTGTTTGATCTGGTCAAACTTGCGCTTCAGCTCCCCTTGGCGCTCCAGACGCTTCTGAGCCCGGCCCACGTAAATCATCTTCCCGTTGAACTCCTTCCCGTTCATTTCTTCAACAGCCTGAGAAACAAGTCAGTGAGGAATGTCAACATGTAATCTTTGAAGGACAACTTCCAGGCTACTCCTTTCTTAGTGCAAATCAAACATGATGGAGCAGAGGAGACCCCGTTTGCTGATTTCATTTTTCTTTGCAAAGAAAAGCTACAGGACTCACATAGTCACGAGTAGAAGCAAAATTTAGGAATGTAAGAATATGTTCTTCTTTGTTTATGAAACCGAGTGCATAGGTTTGCAAATCTTTCAGTTTAGTTATTCCCTGTGGACAGATTTGCTAAGACTTTTTTTTTCTTCTCCAGTAGTTGGACTTACTTCGGCCTCCTGTATCTGTGATCTGGTTCTTTTGGTCACTACAGTGAAGATTAGGGTAGGAACATAGACTGATCAGTAATATATCAAGTCCATATGAACCCCAAAGCACTTTACACTTCAATCAGTAGGCAAGCAGATTGAGTCTTGCCCAACGACAGACACCTGGAACGGGGGATCGAACCGACAACCTACCATTAAAGGGATGACTCCCCTAACCACTCCACCACAGCCGCCTCCAGTGCTTTACAGTTCAGCTCCTTCACCACAACAGACCGGTACAACCTCTGCAATACTGCAGAAGCTGCACTGATCCATCCACCAATCTTATGCTCCATTCGTCCCTCACTCGTGAACTCAATATTTAACTCCTCAACTTGGAGGTAGATCCTCATCTCATTGTGGTATTAAGAACTGTCTTAATTCCAGGTTCACTAACTTATAAACAAACCATCAAACCTACAAAAAAAAAAAAAAAACTACAAACTGAATAAATATTGAATAAATGTCAAAGAAGCACAAATGTTTTTCCAAAAGGATAAAAACTGGCATGTGGCAAACTGAACTGTTGGAAAAAGGAAATAAAGTAAAAATAAATGTGTCAACAGTTTAAAACAAATCCTTTGAATATTACAGCCTGATGCTACAATGTAGAGTCCCTAAACCCTCAGCTCACTCCCAGTGTTGCCTCGTCTATATGGGAAAGAAAATAATATTGGACACAAATGTTATTGCAAATTTGGGCATATGATTTACTAAACTGTAGGAAGACATCCTTAGAAAGCCTAGTGGGCTCTATATATACAGCAGCTGGCATTTAACTTGGTTTTTAGTCAAATGCTGATCGAGTGTAAAATCTGGCAACACGCAGGCTGCACTAATCCAAAGTAAAATTAAAATCTTGAAATAATGACCATGTTGGCAACGGGCCTCATGCAAGAACCGTTCGTACGCACAGATTTGTTCTTAAGTTGTGCGTACGAGTGATTTAGGAGAATTTGTGGCATTCACCAATGTTTTCGTATTCTAAGATTTTCTTCAGATACGAACAAAATTCACAAGTGGTCCAGACCTGTCGTATATTTTACGAGCAGTCAGTCTGCTGTTATCCAGACGGGTTTTCTTCATTAATAACTTTATATTTCGTTAGTTTGAAGATATTTTGAGTTGAAAATAAATTACACTCCATAATTATGTTGACAATAGGCTATTCTGCTTGAATTAGAGTTATAATTTTAAATGTAATAATTTAGACTAACAATATAAATTGTCCGTCCGGCCAGCTTTTCCGGGATTGGCAGCAGGAGACCCCGCTCTTCCCAGCGACACCTTCCAGCTCGTCCTGGGGGACTCCGAGACGTTCCCAGGCCAGAGGGGATATATGAGCAAGTCCTGGGTTTTCTCCAAAGTGCCAGACTTATTTTGAAAACATTTTAAAATGCTTATTTCAAACCCGCATCTGAGACCACCTGCGAGGGTGGGGTGGGGGTGTACAGTGCACTACGGTGTGTCTTCTGAATAAATGAAAATGATTTAACATAGTTGTTTATACTTTTAGCAGCTCTTTTTATCCCACAGCTGACCTGTTAAAAATGACATTTTCTTTTCTGGATCTCTGACAGACGGACTTCAATCTCTGAACTCGTAAAGTTCTTCTTTTTAATTTTCACTGTCATTTTCATGACTGGACACTTCCTGATATCTGAGGCAGGAAACACAGCCTTATATGGTGTTTTTGGGGTGGTAATTATGCTAATCTCCTCTCGCGTGCACGAGCAGCTGGATACGAACAGGTGGAATTTACGCAGCTCATTAACACTTTTCCTGAAGATAGAAGAGTTTGTTGAATCTGACATGGCATGTTCGTATGAACCCTTCGTACGAAAAAAAGTAAGAGAAATTTAGGATAAGAATATGAACATGTTCTTGCATGAGGCCCACTGTTTGAATTGTAGAAAGAAGCAGATGTTTCAGTCCATTGTTTTAAACCGGACAAGAAATTGTTTCTGCTGGAAGATGAGAAATCTGAGGACACAAAACGAAACGTTTTACCTTCTGAGCATCTTCATGGTGAGCAAAGTTGACAAAACCGAATCCTCGGGAACGACCCTTCTCGTCCTTCATCACCCGCACGCTAAGAGTCCTCCCTGAGAACACACACACACACACACTTAGAAACTGCACTGCCACCAACCAAGCAGAAGACAATAAATGCTTTTTTTAAATACCAAATGCAGAAAAGAGTTCCTTGAGTTTCTCATCACTGAGGTCTTCTCCAAAGTTTTTGATGTAGACGTTGGTGAACTTCACAGCTTTGGAACCATACTCAACTTCTCTTTCTTTACGCGACTTAAAGTGGCCAACAAAGCTGGAAAGAGAAATACGAAGCCAGATGAGCAACTCTTCAAAAGACAAAATAAAAAGAAGGGAGTCAGTCATCAAATTTACCAAACCTCACCATGCAACACCAAAACCACTGATAATACAGACAGTAGAACATTGTTAAAAGTCCTCTTAAAAATTAAAATAAAAATCAGTAAATAATTTCACTAAATGAGGCTTAGATCAGAGTTTTTTTTAATCCTAAATAAAAAATAAACACTGTAGAATTAACAGATTTTCTGCATATCCCTACAATTAAAACAAAGACAACAAATCTAGACAAACATCATACCTATGTGCTGACCTATGCTGGGAGACCTGACATTTTTCCCACAGGAAATGGTTCTTGAGTTTCACAATGCCAGATTCCAAATGTTTCCCTGTCTTCTGACTGAGCACAGCACAACACAAAACAACACACAGAAATTATCTGCAAAAAAGTGTCCTGATGCATCTCAGTAACTTCACTCTAACACTCTTTCAGAGATGAGGATGTTCTCATTCTTGATAGAGAGGAACGTTGGTTTGAGAGAGGAGTAAAACAAGCCATTTTTGTGAAGAAAGACCGTCCATCATTAAACAGAGGTGGAGGCCTCCGTTTTCAGTTGTCCCCCTCCTACAGYGCTGCTATTGCCAGTATCACTCCACCCCCTGTTAACAATAGGTATTAATTAGGTGTCAATGATAGCCATGTGATGTATCAGTCACATGGAGGCAGTGCTTAAAAGCCTGAATTTTGCCTGAAACTCTCAGACTGAAGAAGTCTCTTGGAGACGAAACGTTTCATTAGAGAAGAACCCGCCCAGAAGACCTATACAATTTTTTTCTTTTTTCATCTGCAAAAAAAATTCTGTCCTGGGGAGTAAATAGTATTAACCTTAAACACACACGTGTTCTGCTTTCCTCTTTGCCTAAGCTTATGAAGATTTCTATTGTTTTTGTTAGTTCAGAAAAACATTTTAAGAAAAAATAAAATAGCTTTGAAGTAGAGTACTTACACTTTCCTGTCATTTAGAAGCATCCCGTTCATCGTTTCAATGGCCCGATTTGCAGCCTCCTGAGTCTCAAAGTGGACAAAGCCATAACCTTTGGATCCTTTCTCATCACAAACAACCTATAAAAGCAGAAGCCATTCACTTTTAGCTCTTCTACTAACTGTTCACAACTTTTAGTAAAAATGTTGACTTACCTTGCAGGATAAAATATTGCCAAAGGCTGAGAACGTGTCATACAACGCTTTGTTGTCAATCGATTCATCCATGTTCTTAATAAATATGTTCCCCACACCGGACTTCCTGAGAGCGGGGTCACGCTGAGACCACATTATTCTGATTGGTCGACCCTTGATGACATCATAATTCATTGTGTCCAGAGCACACTCCGCTAAAACAAAAAGTATAATTAATGAAGATTGTTTATGATAACCACTTGTCAATAAGAACAGCAGCTTCATACAGAATTTAACTTGTTCAGTCATGAAAGCTGTAAATGTATTCTACAGTTTGCTGAGCTGAATGAGGTTATGGAGAGCATTAAAGTCTGATTTCTTTCAAAATCATTACAGAAAAGCTAAGATTTCTTCTATCTTATCACTGATAGAACAAAAAACAATAATATCTTTGTGTTTTTTTATATATTACTAGTGTTTATAGAACTTTGTTGTTTAATTGTTTCATGTTATTTCTCAGCAGAGAGAGACTGTCTGAAAACATTGATAAGAATATTCCCAGTATTCCCAGTAAATAAGAGGGAGGAGCAGACACAACTTGACTCCCCTCTGCCCCGGTGCAAATTATAAAAACTGTGTAAAGAAACAAGCTTTGACTTCAACACCTGCTTTGCCCATGTTGGGCAGTGCAGGTGTGAAGCATCGACTGCTCCCTTACATGAACCTTAAACTAAAACTTTGTCTAATTATATAATCTGACTCCGTCTCTTTTATTCTTTCTCTAACAATCACTTTCTTTTTAGGGAATCATCCTTGTCTACATTTTATTTTCCAAGGTATTTTTTATATTATTTTATCACTGAATCTGACCATTGTGTTTTGCATCACTTAAGATGCATTTCGTCTCTCACAACAGAACACACACAGGAGCCTATTTGGTAAAGTTCTTGAGTTAAAAATGACATTTTTAGACTTTGCTCAGAAGACAGATTTTCTTGTAATCTTTTAAGTGATCTTGGTCCAGTTTCGACTTGTTTAAAGGGTTTCTTTGGACTTTGGCTGCTATGTTACTAATTTTATATCACATAACACATTTTTTTAAATTATATGTATTTGTTAAGCTATTCAACTCTGATCTATGAAACTTTTAGGTTTGAAAATGATTCTAAACTCAGATCAACTACAGATGAACTTTGTAAAATTTTCAATTGACAAATTTTATATTCCAGCTAAATACATAAAAGAAAAAAAAAACACCACAATTTTAATAATTTAACTCAAAGTACATAATGTCTAAAAAGCAAGGGGCTGAAAACTTGACATACAGTTGATCTGAAGGATGAACATTCATTTCAGGTCTTAACTAGATTTTTTTTTTTTCTTTTCTTTGAAAAAATGACTTTCAGATCAAGAATTTTAGACTTTCATTAAAACCTTTTGAAAGAGTTTTGGAAAGCCAGAAGAACTTTATATCAAAACCACTTTAAAAAGTATTACAAGAGTCTGTGTGCTTGAACTAAAACATAAAAAAGAGATGAGTTAGGTTTTTTAACACAATACTATATTTCTGTACACGGCAACTAATATATTTTATTACTTCACACATTCTGGCATCTGCCCAAAATTCACATCCACCATACAGCCAACAACGTGATAATTTAGTGTCCCATCTAAATGTAAGATGTATGAAGTTTTAAGGGTGATGTAAAATGCTGCTGTACCATCAGCTGGTTGCTGAAAGTTTATGTAGGCATAACCCAGAGATCTGCGAGTGATGATGTCCCGGCACACACGGATGGACATGATGGGTCCAGCAGGGGAAAACTTTTGATAAAGCATGGCCTCTGTAACATCAGGGTGCAGGTCCCCAACATACAAAGAGGCCAGAGGGTACGCTGGTCCACTGCCATTCATTTTGCATAAACAACTGGATCAAAAATAATAAAATAAAAATTAACAGGCAATTTGAAATAAATACAATACATATATTGTATGTATATGTATCAGACCCCACAATATAGTGGGGTCTGATTTACTTTACAAGCAATTTTAAACATTTTTCAGTTTTGAGCTGTAACGTTGAGATCAATTTAAAACCTTTTTATTTGAATATTTTCAAAATTGAAGAAAAATGCCTAAAGTATGAGGAAGGGTACTTCAAAATACTTAGCTACTATTATTTCTGGCCTTAAAATATGACCTCAAGACAAGAACCAAGGCTAATACAGTAGCTAGCTAAAAGTACACACTTCCAAAAAAATAAATAAATAAAAATACACATCTAAATCAAAACATCTATGAAAAAATTACAACTTATACATATTTAAATCAAAACATATATAAAAAATTACAACTTTAAAACTTTTGTCGTGGAAAGTTTTACATTATTACTCATCAGGCGCATTTTTCAAGACACGCTAGCCAAAAATCAAGACAATTAATCTCTCAATCTAAAAATGTGAAACAAGACAAACCTGAAAAGTAATCTAGCAACAAGTCGCAGTTTCGACTGTTAAAGCTTATTCTTACCAATTTAAAAACAAAGCAGAACCATGATTAGCCTGGTGTGCACCATTAGTTTACGTACAGAAATAAAAATCGCTAGCTTGTCTCTACATAAAATTCCTTGATGCTGCAGGAAACGAGCACGTGAACTTACCTTTATGTGAGCGCGTGGGTCTTTTCAGTGCAGAAGCTTGTGAGCACTCTTACGGTGAGCGCGTGGGGGTGTTTTGATTTAATTAGCACCGTGGAACACCTGCACGCCTCCCCTCCGCACAGTTGTTTCAATTAGGCCGTGAAAAGGCTTGAATCGAACGGAAATAGTTCTCGTTAGCATGTTAGCACACCTTAGCTAAACGTCGTTTTATGCCTCAAAAACAACTGAGATTACTGTCCAGATGGTTCATTTTGTTGACGTTTTCAGTTCAGGGTTTATTGAGAACAGAAATAAAGACGTAATTTGCCTCTTATCTTAAACGAAACTTTATTTCACTGAATGGTCTTTGACACTTTCCTATTTCTTACATGTATAGTGAAACTAGAATGGTTTTAAGATACATAAACACAAAGCTAGAATTACACCAACCATTGTTTATCTCCATGTCGTCACTGCTTTTTTTTAATAGCTATTCTAAATTTTCACAACCACGTGTGTGCACTGGGTAATAGACTGTTACAGAAGCAAATTTTAGCCATAAGACTTGTCAGTAAAAACAAAGCAAGTAAATACCTGATATACAGACAGGCTTCGTTCCACATTCACTAACTGCATTTTCATCAAGCATAATAATGAACTGACTTTTTTTTATTTATTTTTTTTCCCAACAAAAGATTTTAATTCATTGGAGCAATGTCAGAGTAAACAGACCGCCAGCTAAAACGTGGAATGGTGTCTTCAACTACAGTGATGTGGAATGTAGTGGTGATACATGGTATTGTGACACTGAGCTTCTTTATCACTTTCTAAAGAGACCTGATTTTGTTGAAGCATGCTCACCAGCTGTCTTTAACAGCCGAGTGATTCACCTGGGTAAGAAAAACCTGTCAGGATTTTAAACATTGGTGGTCTAAAGTCAATCCGTGAGATTTCAAACAAGCAGATGCCGCTACCTAAAAAGGAAAATACAGAAAGCCAGGCACGAAAACGTCTTGAAGAAAACAACCGTTTTAAGAGGAATATTTTGCAAGCAGGGTTGATACAGTGTGGCAAGACATTATTTTTTTCAATTAACATCAATAAAAGGTTACTTTAGGTTTTACATACAGATGATAGTCAATCTTGCAAAATACATGGAACCACATTTACGCGTACGATTTTCATTGTACTGAGATCAAGCAGCACCAGAACAGTGAGAAAACTACAATGACAATCTATAGTTAGTTTAATTAAAGAAAAAAGAAAAAGAAAAAAAAAACGATAGGGAGCACTGCCGTTTTCAAAAACTTATTAATGTGGAATGTCTTATGTCTGAACAAATCTAACATTATCATTTAGGGGGTCCCATTGAACTTTTAAACTGACTTTGTGAACATGATCAAAGGATGTACTACACCAAGATGTCAGTGTCACAATACAGCCCGCCTCCTTTTCTGTATGAGCCCACAGCAGAATTGCAGTTAACTGAATACGGGATTGTACGCGTCTGGAAATTCCAAATACAAAACTGTTTCGGGGGGGGGGTTTGTGAAGCAAATGGAAAGCCTACCATCACAGTGTTTGGTGGAAATCAACTGCCAGTTTAATTACCATACAATAAAACCTGTAAATATCATGATGAATCACAAATAAGTAACAAAATAAGGAGGGGAGGGGGTGGGGGGAACGCACACCGAACTAACTGGGAACAAAGGAATTTGGAAGGACGATTAGGATTCACAACACCCCTCCCTCCCCACCCCCAGAACACAATCTTTTAACACATCCACTCACGCTTGGCTCACTCGCTACATACAGACCTACACACAAAGCTGACGAAAAACAACAGCAACATGGACTCACTAATCAATACGACATGTTTCCACAAAGTGACTGAATCTGCTAACAACTGAAAATTACCCTGTCACCTCACAGTGAACTGAGAGGGGTAAACTAGTTGGTCAGGAGCAATTCAGGCTGCTTGTCATACAGAAGTGGGAGGGGCTGATGGAGTGGAGGGAGGGGGGGGATGTATATAAGCTGTCTGTGTTTAAGATAAGAGTGTAGGTGGATTAACAGTGCAATTCCATTAGTTTTCCCCGTCTCCGGTCTCTCCCTCATCTGCCTGGTTCTCCGATGTCCACAGCTGGGGAGAGGGAATCACAAAGAACCGTTAAATAACGAAATAAACAAACACAAATACAAACGACAAGATCAGTCACAAGTTGAGCGTTAAAAAAACACACGACACTCACAGTCAGGTTGTCCCTTAGTAGCTGCATGATCAGGGTGCTGTCTTTGTAGGAGTCTTCGTTCAAAGTGTCAAGTTCAGCAATTGCTTCATCAAATGCCTGGATAAATAATGGGACAACACAAACAGGATTAAAATAAGTTACCCTGCAAGGTGCCTAAAAGTCTATGCCTTTATTTTCCAGTTTGTACCGTCTTAGCCAGGCTGCAGGCCTTGTCCGGGTTGTTGAGGATTTCATAAAAGAAGACTGAGAAGTTGAGGGCCAGGCCGAGCCTTATGGGGTGCGTCGGCTGCATCTCTCCCTTGCTAATGTCAAAAGCTTGCTGGTACGCTTCCTGGGAATTATCCACTGTCGCTGTAAAGGGATAAGTAATAAAAAAAAATATATATATATTATTAACACAAATATTAAATACTTTGATTTGTGCTGCACAATGAAAGCAAATCAACATGTTTTTCAGTTTAATTTAGATTAACTTGATTGCATGCAGATACCTCACAAAATAAGAAGGCATAAAATATATTTAGTAGAAGTTTAAAGTTGTTTGAATATATTTTTTTATAGCCACGTTCTATTCACTTTCTTCAGTTTTAAATGCTACATATAGTTTCAAATGTAGGCAAGTGTTCAATTCAATTCAAATTGAATTCAAAAATACTTTATTGATCCTAGAGGGAAATTAGGTTACACTTTGTAACAAGTTTTAATTTGAACTTAAAAAGTTTGTGTAAAAATAGTGGTAGTGTAAAGGCACAGCTTTTTTTCCCCCATCTTTACAAAATTTGCTAAGATTGGATGATCTGAAACACCTCTACCAACATTTCCATGAACACTTAATGCAATGTTATAGTTTAAGAAAAAGGTTTTGGCATTTATTTAACCACAAATGTAAAAATATGTTCTCACTCTTCTTAGAATCTCCAGATGCAACCTCAGAAAGGTATCTATAATAGTCGCCTTTCATTTTCAGATAGAAAACCTTGCTTTCAGGAGCAGATGCGTTGGCAATGAGATAGTTGTCCAGTAGCCCCTGAAAACAACAGTTAAGCATGTCAGTTCTGAGATCTAACTTTTCATCAACAATCAATCACTGCTTTGAAAAGTCTATGAATTAAAATTGCTTTTAATGGTGTCAAAAAACAATAATTTAAAAAAGACTTACAAGCACATCGTGGCAGATTTCCTGCAGTTCAGTTTCTATCTTTTCCCGGTATTCACGGGACATCTGCTGTTTTTTGTCGTTGCCTTCGGTCTTCTGCTCGATGCTGGAAATGACACGCCAGGAGGAGCGACGTGCTCCGACCACGTTCTTGTAGGCAACGGAGAGAAGGTTGCGCTCCTCGTTTGACAGCTCTGTGCCTTGCTCCGTCACCGCCTTCATGGCCGCAGCCATGTCATCGTAACGCTCGGCCTGCTCAGCCAGCTTGGCCTTCTGTACCAGATCGTTCTTATCCATTTTCTAGACTGAAGGGGAACAGAAAATAAAAATAATTAGGATCAGAGTCATCAAGGAGACACACTTTTTCAATAACTAACTCTTTAAAATTAATTATGTTTCCATCAACCTGTATAAGTTTGTATAAGTTGCACAGATATTCTATGGAACCTAAATTATAACATTAAGGTTTCAGCCATTTTAGATTGGTCTGTAATCTTCACACTCATGCTTACACAAATACATTTTTACAACGGGTTGAGATTGTTGATGTAGCTTTAATAAGATGTAAAGATTTACATTGTTACTAATGATGGAGCAGCTTCTTTGGCACCTGTGAGTTGTCTCAGGGGTCTCTGCTTAAACTTTTTTCGTGTGCTTCCTTTGGGCCTTTTGAAACAAAAATATACATTTTGTTGTTATGCTGATGATTCACTGATATATTGATCAACCCCGGTGGTCTTTAAAATGTAACCGTATACACAGTTATTTACTTTATTAAAATCTGTAAATTCCTCAGCTGAATCACAATACAGATTTTTACCCCAAAGTCACCTGACGCTTTAGGTGACCACACAACGTGATCTGCTAAAAACATTTGTGTTAACTTTGTTGTACACAAAGTTATATTTGACAAACTTGTTAGGTTTATTTGCTTTGCCGTCATTACTTCACTATTCTCATCATTCCTGTTAAAGCAATGACACAAGTTCCTGTTTGAAGCAGGTCCAAACCTCTACTCACCGAGCCCCCACCTCAGGTCACCCCAGATCTCAGGTTTCTACAGCACAAGTTTTTATTCAAATCCCTCCTGTGATTGTTTCTAAAACTTTAGGTAATCAAGTTCCTGTTTGTGTCAGTGAACTTTAAAAACAGTATACACCTTTTGAACAGTTTTTGTTAATTATTCTTGATTAAAGGCTCACGCCGATTGTGTACTCAGTGGCCCGTGGAACCATCTTCTTGTAGAAGTGTGTTAGAAAAGCTTTTAAGTGTTTTAAAATGACACCTAAACACTGACTCCTGGTGTTTGTGTTTCAGAACACTCCATTTCCTTTCTACTGTTTTGATAAGTTATAAACTTTTAGGTTTCTCCAATGGATTGTTTTTAATCTATTTTTTTTGCAAAGAGCAGTGTTTCCCAAAGTTGGGGTCGGGACCCAAAGTGGGGTCCCAAAACATCAAGGTGGGGTCCTGAAAAGATTTTTTGAATTAATTACATTTTTTGTTACAAAGAAGTAAGGTTAGTATATTTAAAATGGATAAATGTAGTATAAAAATATTGTTACTATGCCCATGTTTAGTTGACCTGATACAAATGTTTATCATCCAAAAATAGCTTGGGGCACAGGTCTCTGCTACTGTTATTTTCTGGGTCAAAAGCTGAAAAGTTTGGGAACCACTGCACTTTGGTTCCCAAAGTTGGGCTTGGGACCCAATGTGGTCATGAAGCACCTTGGATAATCTCCAGAAATCAATTTAAAGGGTAATAAAATAATTGCTAATGTAATATTGTCCCTTTAATTATTACAAAAACACAAAAGTA